CAGAGAGAGACCCGCCGCGATCCCCATCGAGATCAAGAGCATCGACGACACGTCCAACTTCGACGAGTTCCCCGAGTCCGACATCCTGCAGCCCACCAGTGAGAAACTTACATTTAACTCATTCCTACAAACATGAGCGCTTCAGAGCCAATTACATCAAGAAGGACAAATGATTCAAAGATCGGAAGATTTATTTAACTTTAATTCTATCAAGAAGAAAAAAAAATAATAAAGCAAGTTAAATAAATTAATGCCACAAAATAAATTACATCAAGAAGGGGCAACAAATGTATTATTAAAGTAAATAAAATTAATGCTTAAATAAATTTAATGGGCAAACAGTTGATTGAAATGAAAAGGAAAAATTTTATTAAAATTAAGTAAAATTATTTAAAAAAAAATTCTTGATATAATTAATTTTACTTAATTTTAATTAAATTTTTTCTTTTCATTTAAATCAACTGTTTGCCTATTAAATTTATTTAAGCATTAATTTTATTTACTTTAATAATACATTTGTTGCCCCTTCTTGATGTAATTTATTTTGAGGCATTAATTTATTTAACTTGCTTTATTATTATTTTTTCTTCTTGATAGAATTAAAGTTAAATAAATTAAAATAATTTTAATTTATTTATAAAAAGTTAAATGCCTCAAAATAAATAACATCAAGAAGGACAAATGATTCAAAAAAAAATTTATATAAATTAAATTAAAAATAAACTTCATCAAGGAAAGTTTTAATTTTGACTAATTAATGTTTGTATTTCAAACACGATTTTTTTTTTGCAGAACCGTAATTATATCTGTCATTACAGACAAAGGTTAATGACATTACATACGTTAATAATAACATATTAAATCAAGAAGAAAACTTTTAAATTTAATTCATTTCTTCAAAATAAATTACATCAAGAATGAAAAATTGTTCATTATCAATGTAAATAAATGCTGTAAGATTAATTGCATCAAGAAGGGCAAATTAAAATACAAACATTAATTAGTCAAAATTAAAACTTTCCTTGATGAAGTTTATTTTTAATTTAATTTATATAAATTTTTTTTTGAATCATTTGTCCTTCTTGATGTTATTTATTTTGAGGCATTTAACTTTTTATAAATAAATTAAAATTATTTTAATTTATTTAACTTTAATTCTATCAAGAAGAAAAAAAAATAATAAAGCAAGTTAAATAAATTAATGCCACAAAATAAATTACATCAAGAAGGGGCAACAAATGTATTATTAAAGTAAATAAAATTAATGCTTAAATAAATTTAATGGGCAAACAGTTGATTGAAATGAAAAGGAAAAATTTTATTAAAATTAAGTAAAATTATTTAAAAAAAAATTCTTGATATAATTAATTTTACTTAATTTTAATTAAATTTTTTCTTTTCATTTAAATCAACTGTTTGCCCATTAAATTTATTTAAGCATTAATTTTATTTACTTTAATAATACATTTGTTGCCCCTTCTTGATGTAATTTATTTTGAGGCATTAATTTATTTAACTTGCTTTATTATTTTTTTTTCTTCTTGATAGAATTAAAGTTAAATAAATTAAAATAATTTTAATTTATTTATAAAAAGTTAAATGCCTCAAAATAAATAACATCAAGAAGGACAAATGATTCAAAAAAAAATTTATATAAATTAAATTAAAAATAAACTTCATCAAGGAAAGTTTTAATTTTGACTAATTAATGTTTGTATTTCAAACACGATTTTTTTTTTGCAGAACCGTAATTATATCTGTCATTACAGACAAAGGTTAATGACATTACATACGTTAATAATAACATATTAAATCAAGAAGAAAAGTTTTAAATTTAATTCATTTCTTCAAAATAAATTACATCAAGAATGAAAAATTGTTCATTATCAATGTAAATAAATGCTGTAAGATTAATTGCATCAAGAAGGGCAAATTAAAGAATTATTAAATTAACACTTTAAAATGAATTAAATCAAGGACAAATTTAATTAAAGTAAATTAATTAAATTAAATTAATTCTTCTAAATAAATTACATCAATAAGGACAATTAAATAATTAAAGAAGCACAAACTAAATACTTATTAAATTAATTATTCAGCATAATTTGCACCAAGAAGCAAAAATGTAATGAATTAATTCAATTAAATTAATGCTTCAAAATAAATGACATCAAGAATGAAAAATTTTAACCGTTTAAATGTTTGTATCTCAAAAAATGAATTGAAGTAGAAACAATTATATCATTAAAAAGTTATTAATATAACATTATTATAATAAAAACTGCCTTGTGTGCCGTTTAGAAGTTTGTTGTTAATTGTAGAATCGTTAATTGTAGCCTTTAATATTATAGTAGCGTAACTGACATGTTTCCCTGAATAATTCACAGCAATAGTTGAGAGATTTAATTAAATTAATTGAATTAAATATATATATATATATATATATATATACACTCCCGTTCAAAAGTTTGGGATAAACAATATTTTTTAGTTTTATTGATTAAAAGTGACAGTAAAGACACTTACTTTGTTAACTTTGTACACTGAAGACTGGAGTAACGATGCTGAAAATTCAGCTCGGCATCACAGAAATAAATTACATTTGAAAATATATTCCGATAGAAAACAGTTAAAATGGTAATAATATTTCAACTTGCTGATTTTACTGTAATCAATTAATTTGTTGATCAGATAAATGCACTCTTGGTGAGCATAAGAGACTAATTTCAAAAACATTAGATCCCATGATATCATTGGAATCACTTTCAGAACAATTTTTTCAATAAAAACATTGACAGCCAATCAGAATCCACTCGACACCAAAGAGCTTGAGCATTTAAAGCGACAGACAATAGAACTGCAGCACACACGTATCGTTATTGTACATTGATGTTGATGCAAATATAGTAATCATTATAGATACCTTTATAGTTATCATTCTAGGTGTGAACAGGCCTTTACTTTGGTGATTATATGTTTAGCTTGATAAAGTCACCTCAGTAATGGCACCTCTGAGTTATTCTATCACTGAGTATGCCATGATGTCATTTCCTCCCTGCAGTGGGATCTCAAGACAGCCTTCTGGAAATCGCCCTGCGTGCCAACATGCCAGCTGTATCACGTGAGCCCAACCCGAATCCTCCCTCAAGCGCTCGAGAGGGCTTCCCTCTCTCAAACAGCCTGGTCCGGCTTGAAAGCTTTCGTTTCTTCTCAGAATCTTCAGAGCAGGAGAAGAAGCCGGAGCAGGACCGTGATACACTGCCGTTCAAAAGTTTGGGATCAACAATATTTTTAATGTTGTTTTTTTAAAGAAGTCTCTTTTGCTTTTCAAGGCTGCATTTATTTGATCCAAAATAGAGAAAAAACAGTAATATTGTGAAATAGTATTATAATTTAAAACAACAGTTTTCTAGTTTAATATACTTTCAAATGTAATTTATTCCTCTTGTGATGCAGCGCTGAGTCTTCAGAGTGACATGATCCTCCAGAAAATGATTTATTATCAATATTGGAAACAGTTGTGCTGCTTAATATTTTTTTGTGATCCTTTTTTCCGGGATTCGATGAATAAAAAGTTAAAAAGAACGGCGTTTATTCGAAATAGAAATCTTTTCTGTCAATATAAGTCTTAACTATCACTTCTTTTTATCAGTTTAACACACCCTTGCTGAATAAAAGTATTAATTTCTTTAAATTATTAAGAAAATGACTGATCCCAAACTTTTGAACGGCAGTGTATGTATCTCCAGATGAATCGAGAATCACTTCACATGTGAATCTAATCTTGTGAGTCGTGAAGCTCGTGTGAGTCGTGAATCACATGTGAATAGAATCTTGTGAGTCGTGAAGCTCGTGTGAGTCGTGAATCACATGTGAATCGAATCGTGTGTCGCGAATCACACGTGAATCGAATATTGTGAGTCGCGAAGCTCGTGTGAATCGAATCGTGTGAGTCGCGAATCACATGTGAATCGAATCGTGTGTCGCGAATCACACGTGAATCGAATATTGTGAGTCGCGAAGCTCGTGTGAATCGAATCGTGTGAGTCGCGAATCACATGTGAATCGAATCGTGTGTCGCGAATCACACGTGAATCGAATATTGTGAGTCGCGAAGCTCGTGTGAATCGAATCGTGTGAGTCGCGAATCACATGTGAATCGAATCGTGTGAGTCGCGAATCACATGTGAATCGAATCGTGTGAGTCGTGAAGCTCGTGGGAATCAAATCTTTTGAGTCGTGAAGTTCGTGTGAATCGAATCGTGTGAGTCGTGAATCACATGTCAATCAAATCTTGTGAGTCATGAATCACATGTGAATCGAATTTTGTGAGTCGTGAAGCTCGTGTGAATCGAATCTTGTGAGTCGTGAATCACATGTGAATCGAATCGTGTGAGTCGTGAAGCTCGTGTGAATCAAATTTTGTGAGTCGTGAATCATGTGTGAATCGAATCTTGTGAGTCGCGAATATCAGTTTAACACACCCTTGCTGAATAAAAGTATTAATTTCTTTAAATTATTAAGAAAATGACTGATCCCAAACTTTTGAACGGCAGTGTATGTATCTCCAGATGAATCGAGAATCACTTCACATGTGAATCTAATCTTGTGAGTCGTGAAGCTCATGTGAATCGAATCGTGTGAGTCGTGAATCACATGTGAATAGAATCTTGTGAGTCGTGAAGCTCGCGTGAATCGAATCTTGTGAGTCGTGAATCACACGTGAATCGAATCTTGTGAGTCGCGAATCACACGTGAATCGAATCTTGTGAGTCGTGAATCACGTGTGAATCGAATCTTGTGAGTCGTGAATCACATGTGAATCGAATCTTGTGAGTCGTGAAGCTCGTGTGAATCAAATTTTGTGAGTCGTGAATCATGTGTGAATCGAATCTTGTGAGTCGCGAAGCTCGTGTTTGAACGCTGTTCTGTTGCTCTGTGAAGGTCCGGCGGTGGCGAGCAACCATCACTCGGAGTCGGACTACAAGAACAAGGACTGGGTCTTCATCAACTACACCTACAAGCGCTTCGAGGGCCTGACAGCCAGAGGAGCCATCCCCGCCTACATGAAGAGCGGCAAACGGTGAATCCTGGGCGATTCTGAAACGGTTAAGGTGGATGCAACATATGCACGCAGAATTCATACAACTAAATATTCTGGGGGCCATGAAATATTAGTGAAAATCAGCAACAATGCTGGCGGTGGCTGGCAACTTTTTTCAAAAACGCTGGCGGGGAAAGAGTTAATAAAGCATATTTAATGTACAGACAAGCAGATATGAGCCCTAATACGAACGCAACACATTTAATTACGCGTTAAGTGTTTTCCTCCCAAAAACGCTTGATGTGGCTTAATGCATTAAAACAGTGTTTTTAAATGACCAAACTCAATAAACATTATTAATAAATCATACTATGTAAAGACAGACTTGAGTTTGGTCTTTTAAAACTGTTTTAAAGCATTAAGCCACGTTAAGCGGTTTCCTCTCATAGAAAACCGTTATAAGGAAAACGTAATTAACCGCGTTGTGTTCGTATTATGGCTAATATCTGCTTGTCTGTACATGGTATGCTTTATTAATAATGTGCTTGAGTTTGGTCTTTTAAAACACTGTTTTAATGCATTAAGCCTCGTTAAGCGTTTTTCTCGTTAATTTCGCATTCAGAGCCGCGCCGAGACCAAAACACTAGCGAACAAATCATCAATCAACACTTGGCTTCGATTTTCACTTTATATTCACGCCTGAAGATCATCAGAATCGAGTTTTTATGCTGGAAAAGCTTTTGTGGGTACGTTTTAGCAGATTTTTTACTACAAATAAAACCAAAAAATCATGGTTACTGTAGTTAAACCTTGGTAACCACAAATCAACCATGGTCTTGCTACACTAACCACATTCTATAAACGCGTGCGTCACTTTTGAAACGTTAGCTCTTCACTTACGAAAATTAACCATGTTTTTTTTTTTACTACAAATAAAACCAAAAAATCATGGTTACTGTAGTTAAACCATGGTAACCACAAATCAACCATGGTCTTGCTACACTAACCACAGTTTAACCACGGGTTTTGGTAGTCAATACACCAAAAATATGGTTACTACACTTTTACTATAATAAAACCAGGGTTAATTTTTGTAAGGTTTCTGAAGTGCTGTGGATGTTTAAAGCTTTATATATATACACACACTACAAGTCAAAAGTTTTTGAACAGTAAGATTTTTTAATGTTTTTTTTACAGAAATCTCTTCTGTTCACCAAGCCTGCATTTATTTGATCCAAAGTACAGCAAGAGCAGTAACATTGTGAAATATTTTTACTATTTAAAATAACTGTTTTCTATGTTAATATCTGTTAAGCTGTAAATTATGGTATAGTGTATAATGCTACAAAAGCTTTTCATTTCTGCTGATCTTTGGATCTTTCTATTCATCAAAAAAAATGTACTCAACTGTTTTAAATATATTAAAAATAATAAAAAATGTTTCTTGAGCAGCAAATCAGCATATTAGAATGATTTCTGAAGGACGCTGAAGACTGGAGTAATGACGCTGAAAATACAGCTTTGATCACAGAAATAAATTACATCTTAAAACATACTCAAATACAAAGCAGTTATTATGAATAGTAAAAATATGTCACAATATTACTGCTTTTGCTGTATTTCTGATCAAATAAATGCAAGCTTGGTGAGCAGAAGAGACTTCTGTAAAAAACATTAAAAAACGTACTGTTCAAAAACATTTGAGTGCTAGTGTATACACTGTTTTGTGCCTTATAACATCATTTTCAGGGCTAGAAAGCCTCACGTTTGTCCATCAGCAGCTTATTTTTGATTATTATGACAAGTTATGGGTGGCTCCCCATAGATGCAGTTAGTGCTAGTATGTTTGAAGCGTTTCTGACTCTCACTCTGAGCTTTCATGGCTGTATTTGTTTATGAATCTTTGTTTATGTTTGGTACGATCAGTCGATTCGGTCTCATCATCTGTAGTTTTATGTGTTGCATGCAAACCTTTCATTTCAATAGTAGCTTCTTGGAAAAGACTCTCCTGTTTTGTTTAGTTTCTTTCTCGTCTAGCATGCAGTGCATCATTAAATATTTTTATATTGATATTTAACCGTCTTTAATTGTATCTGCAGAGCTGTTTTTGTAACGTGTGTGTGTTTGCATCTTCCGTATCTTTTCTTCTTGTCCAAAAAGTGCATTTATAGTTTATAATTATATGCAATAAAAATGTTACGTGCTTTTTAAATCACTTTTTTAATTATAAAACTTTTTTTTTTTAATTTTTGGGGTAAATTAACAAAGTTATGTCACTAAAAGTTTGGAGTAATTATGATTTTATTAATGTTTTTTGAGCAGCAAATCAGCATATTAGAATGATTTCTGAAGGACACTGAAGACTGGAGTAATGATGCTGAAAATACAGCTTTGATCACAGAAATAAATTACAGTTTAAAACACATTCACATAGAAAACAGCTGTTTTACATTAGAATAATATTTCACAATTTTACTGGTTTTATTGTATTCTTTGATGCAAGAAATGCAGCCGTGGTGAGCAGAAAAACAAAAATTATTTTCGAAAAGCAAAATTATTCCAAACTTTTGTGCAGATGCTTTTATTGAAAACCACTTACAAATTATATAAAACAAAGCAAACGCTTAAAAAGTGTTTTATAAATGATATTTACACTATTTTCTATCCATCACCTTGACACTAGATGGCGCCGACAGACAGAAAATCCTCGCTAAAATGAATTCTAAAATAATGCATCTGATCTTCAATAATCCAAAACCCTGAAAAAGTGACTGGTTTTTTGATTAATTGGTAATTGGTTAAGCAAATATTGTTTTATCCAAAGCCAAATGCAGTGCAGTAATGGCAAGAACTTGCTCAAGGACACAGCGGTGAAAAGATCTCAAGTACTTTTAAGTTCACTGAACCAGTGACGTGGATGAAATGAGTCAAAATTCGAACGGATCAATATGAAATGTCTATCTATATGAATATGAAATGAGGTGCTGAATATTAATGAGCGTGACATCATGAATATGAATGAGGTGTATTATCGTCCAGTCAGTGTTTCTAGTTCCAACAGTTTAATCCATCAGTCATTGGTCGAGACTGGGAGGGGCGGGGCCATTCAGCCGATTTAACTCGTCGACCTGCGGAGTGGGCGTGGCCCCGGCCCGCATAGGCCCCTCCCCCATGGCTGTGATGAGGTTCGGGACGCTCCTGCTGCGGACGCACTGGAAGTCCACGTGTCTGCTCTTCCCTTCCTCTTTCTCCCAGGACAGCTGGATGAAGGGACGCTGGACGTAGCTGTAGATGACCTCGGACTTGCCACCTGGACGCCGCTTCACCTTCTCCTTACAGGTGGGGTATCCTGAGACGCACAATAGTGTCAGGAAGTAAAACCTCATTCAATTTGTCCGTTCTAATGATGCACCTTTACAGACTTGTTTGTTGAGGTTAATCAGTGCTTTAATGCTTTCGTTAAAGCCGTCATTTCACATTTTTCACAGCTTGTTTTTTAAATAATCATGTTTAATGGCAGATTTGGTGGTGGAAAAACTACATTACCCATGATGCTGTGCAGAAAATTCCACCAATTAGAAAGCTGTGGCCAGCAAATTGCGTCAAAATAGCTCTTAAGCTCCGCCCACTCCCATGAAGCTCTCGAAATACTTAAATATATGTATATATTTATGCATATTTTGCGATAAACTTAAAATATATTGTTTCTCTAGTTATAATCAACAACTTTACATGATTACATTTATTATTGTTTTAATTCAGTTGTGTTGTTCGCAGCGCTTCACGGGATTGTAGTTCTTTCCCTCGTTAAAGTCATTAAGTTTAAAGTCGTGTACCTTTGTCTTTTGCGGAAGCTTTCAGCCTGCATGACTTCAACTTAATTTTTAAGATAATCGTGTTTAACAGCGGAATTGGTGGTGAAAAACTACATTACCCATGATGCTGTGCAGAAAATTCCACCAATTAGAAAGCTGCGCCAGCAAATTACGTCAAAAGAGCTCCTTAGCTCCGCCCACTCCCATGATGCACCACAAATCTAATGTAATGATGTAAAGTTCTCAAAATACTTAAATATGTGCATGAATGTATGGATATGTTACAATAAAATATATTGTTTCTCTAGATATAATCAACTTTAAATTAATAGTTTTAAATTTGCAATTCGCATTGCTTCAAGGGATTGTAGTTCTTTCAGGTTAGCAAGCGTCTTTGCCTTTTGTCCAATTTCCAAGTACTTTTTTGCTTCAAATAAAAGTTTGTACTGTTGTGATTTGCCTTATAGCTGGTTGGATTGGTTCAAGGCTTATAATGCTTTAACGAAGACTTAAGTCGAAAGCCGACGGCGTTGAAAAATTGGACGGCACTTCACAAGCTTTTCACTATTTAATTTGAGAAAAACTACTGTCAAATACACACTGAAACAAAGATCCTCACAACTAACTGTCAAAATAAAAGATCGGTTTAACTTGAAGAAATTATGACAGAAATATATTGCTATTGTATACTAAAAAAAACATGCACTCTATAAGGTTTTGTGGTGCGTTTGAATGTATCGTATCGATGTTCGAATCTGTGTGCGTTTACCCTCGATCCCGATGCGAATGTTTTTCAGGCCTCGCTCCTTCAGCAGAGCTTTCGCGACGTCTCTGTTCTCGATGAACTTGAAGAAACGGTAGAGTTTGGTGCTGTAGAGGACTTGAGAATCAAGAAAGCATATTTTATTGTTGATATTTAGATGTTTTGACACCATCGCTATGTCCGAATATGTCTACTACTACACTATACAGTAGTACGGCAAAAGAGCAGTACGTCTGAATTCGTAATATTCGGAAAAACAGTAGGAGAAAAGTAAAAGGATAGTCATATGACAGTAACACAATACCGTATGTAGCAAATCTAAATTACACACATTCATACTATATAAAACATACTTTTTTTTAATGGCTGTAAAGCAAGTTTCAAACCAAATATATGACCCTGGAGCACAAAACCAGTCATAAAGGTACATTTTTGGAAATTGAGAATCATGCATCATCTGAAAGCTGAATAAATAGGCTTTCCATTGATGTATGGTTTGTTAGGAGTTTGCATTCGCAGTTCTTTGCGCTAATAAAAGTGCGCTCACTTCGCGAGTTTTCCTCTCCCATCGGCGGAGGGTTGTCGTGATCCCAGTCTACGTTATCGTCGTCCGTGAGCACCACGATGTGGCACTCTCGTTCTCCTTCCTGAGCGCTAGCAACCATCGCCGGGACCATCAGCTTCTCCAGGAACGCCTCGAACTGCCCCCGAGTGCCGTCATTGGACAGCTCGTGCAGGAGAGCACCTGATTGGACGGAAACGGTAATGAGTTTGAGCGTGCGTTGAGTTATTTTTGGCGCATGTACGTGTGTTTTTGACTCACTGAGGTCTCGGCATCTGACGGTGCTGTAGTCGAAGTTTATACACAGATAATCGCACGCTTCGCGCAGTTCCGCCAAAGACAAGCCCTCCGGACAGTGCAGCACGCCGACACGGTAATAATCCTGGACGAGAGATGACTTTGCGTTAAGTTTGCGTAGAATCAAACCGGCAGTGAACTGGAGGGAATTTGTGATCATACGTACCAGTATGACTCTGAAGATGTTGGCACCGATGCCTTCTGCGATTTCATATTCACCTTTAGCGTTTGGTCGCATGAAACTGTGCTGACGCGCTCGACCGAACATTCTGAGGAAACACACCTCGTTAGGTACGATTTAAAGAATAATTCGGCCAAAAATTACAATTTGCTGAAAATGTAGCTAGCCGCAGGCCATCCGAGATCAGGATGAGTTTGTTTCTTCATCAGGATCGCACGCTTCGCGCAGTTCCGCCAAAGACAAGCCCTCCGGACAGTGCAGCACGCCGACACGGTAATAATCCTGGACGAGAGATGACTTTGCGTTAAGTTTGCGTAGAATCAAACCAGCAGTGAACTGGAGGGAATTTGCGATCAGACGTACCAGGATTACTCTGAAGATGTTGGCGCCGATGCCTTCTGCGATTTCATATTCACCTTTAGCGTTTGGTCGCATGAAACTGTGCTGACGCGCTCGACCGAACATTCTGAGGAAACACACCTCGTTAGGTACGATTTAAAGAATAATTCGGCCAAAAATTACAATTTGCTGAAAATGTAGCTAGCCGCAGGCCATCCGAGATCAGGATGAGTTTGTTTCTTCATCAGGTTTGGAGAAATG